CCGGCGGCTCGGCGCAGGCCCCGCCGCCCGCGTAATGGCGTCCTCTGGCGCTCGGGCACCGGCGCTTTGTTCCCCGCCGGCTGCCGGGGCTGCCGAGGGCTCTGGTGGCGACCCGAGGGCCTCCCTGGAGCGGCTGGGCCGGGAGGACTCCCGGGGACGGGAGCGGGGAGGCGGGCGTGGGAGGGAAGTCTCTCTCGCCCCCTCCGGGCGCTGTCGTTGGCTGTTTTTGCACCGGGAAAAGCCCTGTCTGGTCGGCAGCCGCTTTCCGGCTGCTGGCTCCTAACGGAGTCGGCTTCGACGCCGGCCTGTTACTCCAAGCCGCGGCGATGCATGCAGGCGGCGTCTCCAAGCCGCTAGGTGATGGGGTGGTTGGTTCTTGCACGGAATGATTCTGGCATCAAACCGGGTCGCTCACTCCTTGAATCACGGTCGTGTAGTGTTTTTCTTTGAGGACTGATGGTTGGAGGAGCGGACGGGAGAAAGAATTAAAAGGAAAACAAAAAAAAAAAGCGCAGGTTTTTCTCAGTTGCACAAGCTTTCAGGGTACTTGATCCTTTTATGGTAGACAGAGGAAACACAGCTAGGATCGTCCTGGAATTCCATAAGGAAATAACCAGGGAAGACAGGAAGGAATCGAAGTGTCAGAAGTTGAAACCCTGTGTCTTGGTTCCTGGCTTAGAAACCAAAATTTACGCTGACAACACGGCTTCTAAGAGCCACTAAACACATCCCTTTTAAGTGTATATGGTCCAGTATTAGAGGTAACAAAAATAAGGATATCGGAAATTTGACAGTTTGATAGGGAAACGTGTGTGAATCTTAATTTTCTTAGGAAATCAAAGGAACGTGTACAGAGAAGTAAAGCCAGTACTTTCTGAGAAGCTTGGTAACGCAACCGTTAATCTATGCTTTAGTTATTTTTGAGAGGTGGTGACGCGGTGCTGGTCTAAAAGGATCAATCAGTTTTAAATTAGGGGAGGACGTCTGAGCCCTTGGGAACATCTTGTAACAAGGCAGTGAGTCGTGAAAGATGCGAATGAACCATTGCTGTGGTAGGAAGAGAGGGTGTAAGGAAGGAATTCGGATCTGCATCTAGAGAGTGATTAGGACCAAAAGGTGATAGTTGGGATATTTGAGGAACTGAAAGTACCGACACATTTAAAGCCAGAAATGTTTGGGTGTTCCTCTTTTTGCTTTTAGACTATCTCAGACATTGTTGGCAAAATAATTAGAGAATTTAAAAATGTTTCTGTTTTTGTTCTATCCGAGGTAGGTTGTTTATTTTATTTTTTTCATTCTGGGGAACCAGTGACTTTATTAAGCTTGCAGAGCATGGAGTGAGGGGCGAGGGGTTTACTGACAGGAGCATTGTTGACGCCAAAGCAGCCAGCCCCACTGCAAAGTTTCACAGCCCGTGATGGCCTTTCCATAGCTGCATAGATGGAGTCCCATCCTCTAATATGTTATTTATTTATGGGTGTCTTGTAGCTTTGATTGTTGGCTTATTGATATCTTCTATGTAGCATACCCCTGTTAAGATGAATGTAAAGTTTTTGGTTTTGCCTTTTCATTGTAGAAGCTCCAGCTAAACTTACTTGTTGGTTGATTGTAGTTCATTAGCAAAAATTGGTATTTTTATAAAAATGTACAAATGCTGTTTGCAAGCAGGGTACTGCATGTCACATCTAGGTACAAGTCAGAAGGTGATAGTCCCTCCTTCCTACCCAGACAGGGTTCCTCTGTAGACCTTGCTGTTTTGGAACTCCCTCTGTAGACCAGGCTGACTTTGAACTCACAGAGATCCACCCACCTCTGCCTCCAAAGTGCTGGGATTAAAGGTGTGTACCACCACTGCCTGGCAGGGTGATAACTTTTTAGTAGAACTCTATACAGTTCTTGTTCCCTTATGACATTTTCCTGGAGAATATAGTTTTTGTTTGTTTAGTTTAGTTTAGTTTTGTTTTGTTTGAGACAGGGTTTCCCTATGAAGCAGGCCTTGAACTCAGAGGTTCACTTGCTGCTGCCTCCCAAGTGCTGGGATTAAAGGCATGTGCCATCACCACCTTCAAGAATATAGGTTTTTACAGTTGTCTTTAAGCCATTTCTATAACATGGAACAAAATTAGTTGCTTTTCCTGAGGGCTTATGGCCCTCAGTAAAAAAAAAAAATTTTTTTTTTTTTTTTTTGGTTTTTCGAGACAGGGTTTCTCTGTGTAGCTTTGTGCCTTTCCTGGAACTCACTCTGTAGACCAGGCTGGCTTTGAACTCACAGAGATTCTCCTGGCTCTGCCTCCTGAGTGCTGGGATTAAAGGTGTGTGCCACCAAGGTCTGGCTGTAAAAATATTTATTTTTATTTTTATTTTTTTTTGTCTTAGAATAGTTGTCTTTGTTGGCGGGGGGGGTTGAGATGGTGTTTATCTGTGTAGACTTGGCTGTCCTGGACCTTGCTCTGTAGACCAGGCTGGCCTCAACTCATAAAAGATCCTCATGCCTCTGTCTCCCCAGTGCTGGGGCTAAAGGTGTGCACCACCACTGTCTCCCCCGCCTCCTTTTTTTTTTTTAAAGACAAGGTTTCTCTCTAGCCCTGGCTACCGTGGAACTCACTCTGTAGATTGGGCTAGTCTTGAGCTTTGGTTTGGTTTGGTTTGTTTTGTTTCTGAGACAGAATCACTTCTCTCCACTATGTAGTTCCGTCTATCCAGGAATTCTCTTGATAGACTAGGCTGGTCTTGTAAGACATTGACTTGCCTCTACTTCCCAAGTGCTGGGATCAAAGGTGTATATCATCATGCGCCTGGCTAAAATATTTTTTTTGAAAGTTTTTCATACTTAACATTTGCTTTGCAGAGTTCAGAGGATAACTTAAAAGAGTCTGTTCCTCTTTCCATGATGTAGGTTCTGGGAATCGGAACTTAGATTGTCCGCTTGGCAGGAAGCACATTCACCATTCACCCTTAATCAGAATAACCTCATTAAAGTTTTTCTTCTAATATTGTACGCAAGAATTATATATGCCTTGATAGCTCTAGTATCTTGTCAATAATAGGTATTCAAGTGTTAAATCAACATTTATTTGATAGATTAACATATGTTGGATTTATTTTATTACTTTTGGGGAAAGGTTTGTTGTAGTTCAAACTGGCCTTGACTCCTGATTTTCTGCCTTTTTTTTTTTTTTTTGGTTTTTCGAGACAGGGTTTCTCTGTGTAGCTTTGCGCCTTT